GAAGTCCAGAGAGTGATGACTTAGAGCAAGTGAGCAGTGTGGGAGACAAGATCCACCACCCCCTCCACACACACAGTGCTGTCTAATAACTGGCCATGGGATGTTGATCTGATGTAGCGCCAGGTTAGGTCATGAGCTTTACTCTGGATCAAACCGAAAGCATAAACAGAAAGCATCAGATGCCACGCTCCTCTGCACCCTCTGCCACGCAGAGTCCTTGCCCTCGCCCTGCTTCTTGCTTAGCAAAACATTTCAGGAGGCCCCATTCTCCCTTCCCTCCTGCTCCAGACTGAATCAGAGCAAAGTTGCTGAACTGGGGCTGCTTGTCACCCTGCCAAACTTTGCTAACCAATCTTGGTGCGAAAGCAGCTGTGACAGGCAGCGACAGAAAACCTAGCGTCAAATTAATTAGCTGGAAGGGAACCAGCAAAACACTGGTACTCTGTCTCGTAACCACTGGATGAGTCAATTCTCACCATCTTCAATATTACAGATGTTGGACTGGGTGCAGGGTCTGATTCCCTGAATCAGTCCATGCCAGCCAGTCCCCACAAAATAGTCTAAGGATGAAGCATTTCTTTTAGGGTTCTTCTCCCATTGGAAGGGAATTTGTGGCTCAGTGACACCTCCCTCCAGACTTGCAACAGATTTTTTCCAAACAATGCTGGTGAAATGCTGCCATCACTTTTACAACTTTTTTTTGTTTTCTTCCCAGAGAAGTGCATTTCTGTGCTTGGAGTTTTTTTAAATGCACTGATCAAATCTGGCAGGGGTAACCAAACACACACATCATATAGGAAACAGAACGAAGGAGGAAAGGAAGGGTACAAGCAAATATTTCTTCAGGATTGTCAGGCCTTTCGGTTACCATGGCAGTATGTTTCCATGGAAGCCAAATCTGAAACCTGTTGCTGCCACAGGAGTGGCCTAAAGAAAATTACTAGTTTTGAAAATTAACCAAGCTGCTCTCTACCTTGAAAGCCAGCCCACCCACAGCCCTCAAAAAAATAACAGCATCTTTCCATCCCTGATAAAGGATTCGATAACCACGTGGGGAAGATGAGAGCAAAAGAAAACACCACACAATGAAAGCCAGTAGCTTCCTTTTATGCAACCAACAATGCAGAAACTGCACTGGTAAGCACAAGGCTGAATGCACTTTATGAAATATTGTGCATAAAGGTCAGCAAAATCCTACAGAGCATCCTGTGTCACCAGCTCCCACGGAGACAAAGGGGGATACTTTCAGACTAGTGCTGTTTGGTTGCCATTTCTTTGAAATTATCCCCGTTAATCATGCTGTTGCCTCTTCCTTGGTTTGCTCACCCACCTCCCAGGAAAAGCTTGGGGCGGGGAAGGAGAATTTTTCTGGGGGCTGCCTTAGTCAACAGTAAAGATCAGCTAGCTGCTTTGCTGCTCTCCTTGCTGGTCAGAACATATTTTTGAATTCTTGAAAGTCACCTTTTGCCTTACCCACCCCATTTTTCCACGAAAAAGACATTGTCTGCAGCCCCTTTTCATTTTTCAGAAGCCAGGGAACCCATATCTATTTTATCACCAGTAACTGAAGAAGCATGGCACAGAGATTCAGCCCTTTCCGAAGGGGAGATGGTGGGATTCAGCGATGAAGCGGAGTTGTGTTCTACAGGCTGCCTGAACACGAGATGTTCAGGCAACAACACCAAAACCAGCGCTACTTCAAAGGGACAGATCACAGAGTCTCTGGATTAGTGACTTCCCACATAGAAACAAGTGCCTCTTCCCCACAGACATGAAAAAGGCATTATGAAGGCCTACCAAATTAGGCCCTCTGGGGATAACACACCTAAAGAAAACTGAACTCTCACTGAAAGATAAAGATCAGAGGGAAAG